CCCCAAAACCCCAAAACCCCAAAACCCCTTAATTATTAAATATTAATTTTTATTTGGAATATAGGAATAGTCTTAAATAATAATTAAATAATATTTCATCACTTTGAGATTATAGATTCACTATCAATCTCCTTTTATAATTAGCAGAACTTCTGCTATCTCCTTAGCTTCTCTTCTGGCTACCTCAAGATAATTCTATATCCGAAAATCATTATCTATAAATATACTTACACATCCTTCATATTAGAATACCTTCCCAAAGTATTTATGATATTCGCACAAGAAACTAAGTATGAGTTTGACAAGTTCCTCAGAAACAACATTAATGTTGTAGTTGAGCTATCTTAACTATACAGATTTATCTGAGTTCTTATAACTCAAGTCATTTTCATCCTGCTCGTTAAAGTTTCTTATAATATCTTTCAAAGATGTCATAAATGCTTCCCTTTCACTGATAAGCTTCAAAATCTTGATGATTCTAACTCTAATCACAAAAAATTCTTTGCACCTAAGCAACAACTTTTACAGAGTTTTTGAATCACGCTATATGGTTGATTAAATATCCGAATCATAGAGGGGAAGATAAATCTTACATCTGCATAGAAAAATTAAATCTTTATAGCTACTTTGTCAAGTTAAATGTCGCTGCAGAGTTTTTAAATGGTATTAAGAGTTTTGTTGTGAATTTGACTCAGTGTGTTTGATCTTTCAAAGGCTTTCTCATTTAGTCTGACCATATTAATCATATAGTCTATATCTTCATTCGAGTAGAGAGAGTTGTCATTGATACTATTAAGGATTCAAATTTAAAGAAAAATTTGCTTACTATTAAAGCTCATGCTGGTTAGGAGTATCAATATATTTCTTTAATAAACAATCATTCCAATCGATATTGTTTTATAGATTTTTGTCATACTTCTATTTTCTTAGATCTTTTTCTCTGTGGCTATTTTCAACTCCACTACCAAGATCCTCTGGATTAGTGTAATTATTCTATAGATAAATTATTGATTTATGATCTAACCTGTATCGAATTTGAATAAATTTATTGTGCATTATTTCCTTGAGTAGCTTAAAGCCTCTACTTTACCTGAATACTCTTTGAATCTGAATCTTGATGATTAAACATGTAATTATTTCTATGCTTATAATTGAATCTTGGTAGTGAATTATTCTAACTGTAAGATTATCTTGCATGAGTACCTTTCATTTTAGGTACATTTTGATCGAGAGTAATATTTCTATAGTTTGCAAGAATATTAGTCCCTTTAGAATGAATATATCTTAATGAGGATTTTGACTGATTTTTTAAATAGGTTTACATCGAATTATCATTCTTAATGTTTCTCTCAGCTAAGCTTCCAGTCAAATTGTTATTTTACTCATCTGAGGATTTCCTTTTGTCTTTAAGTTTATTAATGTCTCTTTAATGACTAAAAGAGAATGGTCTATCATACGATTGCTGCTAAAATTGCCTTTTCATTTTTACAAACTCTTGATTATTCTAGTATATCTTAGATATCTAGTAATAATGGTCCATTATAGTTTTACTCTACTTTTCATCTACATTCTCACTTTCTTAAAATCTAATTGAGTTGATATGATTTTTAGCACTTTCATCTCCAGTTTGATAAATACCATTTTCCTCTTTAATTGATTCACTCACAATTTACTTAGAAAGATTTAGTCTTTTTTAAAGTCTAGACTTTAAAATTGATTGCTACCCTCTAAAACTATTGTCATACATAGAAGATTGGTCATCAAACAAAGACTCATTAAGCCTGCTTAGATCTACGGCATCAGCCTCAAGCTATTAATCAACTCCATTATCATGGGCAGTATTATTGTTTGACGTCAATAGATCATTCACTAGAATACTGGGATTTTTCTTAATATAACTTCGAACAAAACCCCATTTCTACTTTTTACTTGGATTTATTGGCAACTTAGCATCTTTTTTTTCCTCTGCTAATTTATTGATAATCTTTTAATACATTTTGTCAATGTCCAAAACTCCTTATTTCTGCATAACATTATTTTAGTTTTAAAGGTTAAAGTTCATTATGTCAGTAGTGTTTAGCATTTTATCAACTTATTCCTCTTCTTATGATCTTTTTGTATCTAATATAGATTAATTAGTTTGAAGGTTATCATGATAAGGAGAAGTAGATTATCTGTGAGAATTCTTATCTTTTCTATACATTAAAGATCGAAGCATCATTTCCTTAAAGGTTTTACCTCTCACCGAATTATCACCTTTGTTGTTATTATAATAGTCAGCTATCTTTATTTGCTTCACATTATTTAGCTGTTGATTCTTATATTGAGTATACAATTAATTATTCATCTCGTATTACTTTGAAATCTGCACATCAGGATTGAACTGTAACTTAGAGTTCATTAGTCTTTTAGAATTTTGGGTTTAAGATCTATTTTGAAACTTCATTACCTCTAGCATGCTTCTCTAGTTTTCCTCTGCAAATAAATTTATCTTTCTTTTTTCTATTAGCTGTTTAATTTTGTTCTTGGTACTTTATTCACTAGTAATATTATTTCTTTGTTTGATTTATGAAGATACAGCAGTGCTTACATGTCTCCCTCCTGAAACTATATACCCTTTATCTGTATTGATAGTTCTAGATTACTGAGATCCAGCTCTGCCAGCGTACTCGCCATCAATATTTTGATTATAAATTTGAGGGTTTTTCTGGCTCATCATTGCTCTTTATTTCATAGACTAAGTTTAATTTATCAGTTTGTTCCTTGATTATTTTTCCTATGTGTTTATTCTTCTCTATTCAATTCTTTGAGGTAGCTTCGAGGACATGTCAGTATGTGAAATTTTTCTTTGGGACGACCTTATAACGCTTATACTGTTATTGGTAATCTAGTTCTCATTTTAATGCTAGTGGTGTTGATATGTCTAATTATTGTTAATCTAGTTTTGATTAGAGGAATTACTTCTATTGTCAGACTAGTAGTTGCTTCTATTTTGCTATTGATCATTTAGGATAGAAATTTCCATGCTTTAAATGTGAATATCTTCGTTTTAAAGATGTATCTGATGAGGAATACGCTAATCATACTAGGTTTATACTTCGTTATTAACACCACTTTCATTATCGCTAAAACTTTAATTCTACAGAGTTTAATGATGTGTCTAAGGTCTGAGTAAGTACTGTTTCTAATGGATTTATATTTCTTAAGACATTATTCGATCATTTTCATTAAATGGGGTTGAATCTTGATCAACAAATGTTGTGTCTGTATGATTCATCGTTTAATGACTCAATGGGTACTTATCCTCAATGTTAATGTTGATTGTTGTATATAAGTTAGAATCATCATGCTTTAGAGAATTCATTTGATCATTTAAACCTTAAGTATTATTATTCAGACCTTCATTAGTTTTATACTTTCTTCTTTCATTGCTCTTTTTAATGCTGCAAGTCTGATCTTCAAACTAAGGCCAAATTTCTTTTTGATCATCATCATTTCTCTCAGAGTATCTGTCTTTTATGTCTTACTTATCCTAATGCTTGATGACAGCTTTATTAATCTTGATGTTAGGAATGCTGTTAGAAGCTCTTTGACCAATTTAATCAGCATGACTTTCATCTATTCCTATCACTGCTGGATTAATTACAATTTTCTTAGTGTTTTTATGATTAAGCTAATGTTAATGCTATTGTTGTCGTAAGTTATTTTAGAAAAGATGGTATTCATCTACTGCAATATTTGTTGTTCTAATATTATATGCATTATCATAGCCACTACTGTTGTTCTTTTAAGAATTTACCTGGCTATTGCTGCCTGAAATATTTTCAAAAAAACATAGAGCATCACTTTATATCTCTACTTGATCTGTATCAAATGGCTGCATATTGATTCTAAGGTTTTAATCCATTTAAGATAAATTATTATTTTTCATATAAATAGCATTCATTAATTATTTTATTTCAATTGATTATGGAAGAAGATAAAAACTTCAAGGGGTTTTGGGGTTTTGGGGCGTCAAGAAATT